CAGTCCATCGTTGCTGCTGGGAGCTGAAAGAGCCAGCCATGTGTCTAAATAAAGCAGTACAAGCATTTTTGCATAGACGCTCCCTGTGTTCCTGGGCTGTGGGTGTTCAATGAAAGCGATCAGTGACAACCCACGAACAATAAACTCATTCACACGGTACCTCCGGCCCCAGCCCAGCCCAGCACACGGAGCCCACGGCAGGGAGTGGAGAAGGTGTGTGAAGGAAGGGCAGCAAGACTGACTTACACACTAGAAGATACCACAAGGGTAAAGGCTCATGCCCTGCCAGGAGCACTCCAAAAGCAGATGCCCAAAGGCTCAGAGCTTGTGAGCTAGCTTTTATCCTTTTTTTTTTTTTTCAGGAAGAAAGCTTCTTTCCTAGATTCAGGAGCAGGGCTCTTGGCAATTTTTGGTAGTTATACAGATGGAGCAGAGACCCCAGAACAGCAGGGCTACAGGGGTATTGTCCCACTGCTCTTCATTGCATGGATCCCTGCCCCTTACTTGCAAGAGATGAAGCAAAACCCAGTGACCATTTTGGGGATAGCAAAAGGAGCACCCCAAACCTGGCAGTTACACACACACACCCCAAAGGCCACCACTGCTCATCAAATGAAGCCAGCATCCCTCCAGCCTCATGCTCATCTGCAGTGAGCCTGTCCTGGTGTGGAGAGCCCTAGAGAGCCTCATTTGTGCCCAATACAAATCAGAGCATCCTCATATGCCCTGTTTAAATAAGAAACGCAGCTGTGCTAGAAGGGACAGAAATACTACACTGGCACAGGTGACAGTGTGTAGGATGATTTGGAAGGGTGGAGATGGCAGATGTATAATTGAGTCAGGCTGTGGTTTCAGTTACATAAAAAGGTTTCATGTCCTCAATCCCTGCAGAGTAAATAACTGCACTCTTGCTGCCTATTCCCCAGCAGAACGTGGAGAGTGTGCTCCATTCTCCAAAACCAATCAGGGTCACTCTCACAGAAGTGAGAGTTACTGTATACTTTACGAGGTTATGCATGACATTAATTTTCATCTGCATTTAAAAGAATGCTCAGCCTGGCAGCTGAAAGTTGTACTGGATTTGGCACAGAGCAGTACATTGCCCTGCTTTCTCCAGTTGCCACACCAAGACAATGAGCTAAACACAACAGCTGTGTGGATGATCAGCTAAGGATAAACCACATATGTCTGTACAGAGACATGGGATCATGTTCATATGAATCAATCCATTTCCGACTCTGATTAACAAGAGTTTATAAAGGGCCTCAGATTGCTACCAGGCCAGGGCTCATATCTTTTATTTATGTCTTCACTTTGCAGTTTAATCCCAAGCATATCTATCCCCGTATTTGCAATAACTTGTTAAAAAGAACATGTGCCGAAGCCTCAAACAGACTCGCCTCTCTTTCCCCTCCCAGTTAAAACATGTTAACTAGCAAGAAAACACTCCTTCTTTCTACCAAGTCTCTATTTTAATCCTTATCAACACTAAACTGTTGGCCTCTGTTAAGAAGACAACCTCTCCTCCATGGGCAAACAACGCTCATCTCTGTGGGGGAGCACTGCAAACACTACTGAAGACCCAGCGATAAGAGATATGAAACTTGTATCTTTGCTCAACAGAGATAGTAAAACATGAATGCCAAACACCTTTCTTTGAAGAACTGAGCTGCAAGTTGCTCTGATTTCCACTACAGAGCTCTAACACATTAAAAATACAATAATAATCTTACAAATCTCTCAAGGCTCACACCACTTGACATTTTAGACTATGAGCATAGGGCTGCATCACAGGGAATCACTTGTGACTGCGGTGTCAAGGGCTCGGTCTGAGAGGACTTGAAGGGATGGCAGATAGATAAAGGTGCCACCAACATACCCCTCATCAGTAACAGTGCTTTCAGCACATCTTCCCCTCCAGGAGTCTGGAGATGGCTGGTCATGGACCAGCCAGCCATGTCTGACAAGCATGGCAAGGAGTAGGCAAGAAGCCATAGTGCCCCTGTAACAGGGAGCACAAGATGGGACAGCTGCCATATGCAAAGTCAAAGCACATGGGAAGGAAGTGAGAGAACATTTGCAGAAAACAGAGGAGGAGCAAGAGATGAGCAGCTCTGTCGTTTTCACTACACAGCTGTGGGTACAGTGACCGCCCCCACTCACAGCTGCCCTCTGCAGGTCTCCCTCTTGTCCCCTTGGGCTGTTGGGTCTGGTGCTCCTTTATGCCTCACATATACTTCCTAATCACAGAGAGAAGATGAATTTTTAAATAGCGTCTTCACCAACAGAAGGCACTCTTTAGAGTGGCCTGACAGAAAAATCCCTACTGCATGTGAAGATCATCCTTCAGAGCTTAAACAGCCTAACAAGAGTCAAGACACAGTGTCTTCCTGTGCAGCTGGCCTTGCAACCTCATTTGTAGTCACTGGGAAAGGAAGCCCATTCCCAGGAGAGTTTCACAATTCCTTCTTCACTTCCTACCATGCAAGTCCAACAGCCCAAGCGATTCCCACTCCACTGGTATCACCCTGCCAGCCACCAGACCCAGCTTCCCATCCCACCTGGCCCTGCACGCTCCACCCATCCAGATTCCTGTGGCTGCTTCACTTGCCATTGACATAGGAGAGACACCTCCTGCACATGCCAGGTTAGAGTCCAGATTAATGCACATCCCTGCCTGTGTTTAAAGGAAAGAAATGCTGCTGTTTTGCTGATGCTTGCAAGCTTAATTTCTTAAGTAATAGGAGAGATCTTGCAGTCAAATTCCTGCTCCCCAAACAACAGGCTGTTGTTCATTGCACAACAGCCCTGTTTGAGTCCGTGCACCTCTATCATTACAGGATTTCTCTGCACAAGCACTCTGCCTGGCTCATGGCAAGGATGAAGACTTCCTGAACCATGGCAGCAATGAGTTATCCCCACCAGAACAGACACATATCCCCCTGTGCTTATTAATAACAACTCACTCCTCTGCCTTCTCCACCTGCTCCTCAGGGCTCCCAATTCCCACATGTTCTCCTCCAGCCCAGCCCAGCCCAGCCCTTCCCCTGCACCTCACCAGCTCCAAGTGAGTCCAGTTACACCTCCCACCCACTAACCAAGCTGTGGCCACTACCTGTGGCTGCCCCCCAGGGCTGGTGATGCCTTGGTGCCTCATTAACACCCCCCCCCCCTCCCATGCTCCCAGACTCGTTACCACTCACACAAAAAGCACTGGCAAGGCTCCGCGATCAGTTGGGGTCGTTATTCATTACACATGTGCAGAACACATCCCTGCTGCTCTGAGGGAGCAGTGTGCATATTTAGAAAGACAATATACAAAACATAGCTGAATCCTAATGAATCTACTGCTTTACTACTGGAACTGAATGGAATTGGGCAGACCCTGCCAACAGGAGGAAAAAAAAATAAAAGACTACACAATATTTGACTTGTAATATAATCTTTAGCATCGCTTTTGCAGTACGTTACTATTGTGCTTATCAGGCGTGTAAAGTATAAATTATAAGGAAGAAAAGGACCAAAATGCAACAGGCAGCACAGTGCCAGCCCTGTCAGAATACTAAAGTCAAAAAAACACAGTCCTGGCAAAAATTAACTTCGCACAAATAAAGTCCCCACCAGAGCAGGATTAAGGAACAAGGGCTATTAGTTCAGATGCATCTACTACGTCTAACCAAACCTTCCTGGTTTGATGGTAACAAGTCCAAATGAGGTCAGGCAGGAATGCATCTGTTTAGTACCAAGTTCCATACTTAAATGTTCGAGCTCCATGAGGAGAACAGCCGTTACAAGGAGAATCACATTTCCTCTCAACAGGTAAAATTTACTGCAAACTTCCTCGGTGCTACACAAGTGCTGGATTCGCCTCCTCCAGGTGAAGTTTTTATGCACCAGCAGGAGCAGAAATCACAGAGCACCCAAACGCATCTGAGCGCCACCTGCCCGGGCATCTCGCCCCACCTCCTCCCTCCTCAGCTGGCAAGGAGCGCTCAGGTTTGAGAAGTGTCCAAGAGTGCCCATAGCAGCACAGACCCGAGATGCGCCAATCTCGGTGATTACGACTAAGCGGCATCACAGAGGAAGCGCCAGAGCCATTGATTGTGGGGAAATAAATGGGCTGTGGGTGACAGCCAGCCTAGATGAGACCTGCCAGGGAGAAAGCTAGGAGCTGCTCGCCTACCCTCTCCCTAACCACCAAAACTATTTGCGTTTAGACAACAGGACACTCAATGTCGTGCCTGTTCAGTCTGGGAGGGTGGGAAGTCCGCGTAGATGAGCGGTTTAGGGCGAAAGACGGAGCGGGCAATGTCAGACAACTGAGTGGCTGCAGAAAACGCAACAAGACGCTGCTTTTAAGTGACAAAAAAAGGTCCCGATCTGTGAATCGGGTAAAACGCGAAGTTTCTCCACATTTCCCTCCCTCCCTGCCCGCTGCCCGGGACAGGTACGCAGGGACTTCACATCCCCAGGCGGGACCTGTCCGCGCTGCCCCGCACCTTCCCCGCCGCTCCCGCCCCCCGGCCTCACTCGCAGGGACCGCTCCCCCTCCATCCCCGAGCTGACCCCGGCCCCACTTGCGGGGACCCCGATCCCTGGCCCCACTTGCGGAGACTGCCTCCCCCGGGAGCCGGCTCCCGTTCCTACTCTCTCTCCTCCTCCTCGGATCCAGACCCTCTCCCTCGTCGCCCGGTCCCATTCGCGGGACAACCCCTCCCCGGCCCCCGGAACTGCGCTCGGGCTTCACTCGCGGGGACCCCTTTTTCTCGCAGCTGATCCCGGTCCCACTCTCGGGAAACATCCCCTCGGGAGCTGCCCCCCGCCCGCCACATCCCACCACCGTCGCGGTTTCCCACTCGAGGGAACAACAGGGTCAATGGGTCTGTCACCCCCCCAGGACCACCACACCTCTCCCTCTCCAGCGTCGCCCCCGCAGGTCCCCGATACCCCCCGGCGGGCCCCGCGGGACACGGACACGCGTGACGTCCCCGTCCCCTCACCTTTGTATTTCTCCATGGGGGTGCAGCGGGGCCGTAGCCCAGCGGCTCCCGAGGGCTCCGGGACACGGCACTGCCTGCGCTCGGCTCCGCTCCGCTCCCGTATCCTCCTGTTCCAGCAGCGCCGGCTCCCCCGGCCGGCCCGGGCCGCCCCGCCCGCGCCGCCGCCCCGCCCCGGAGCCGCGGAGCTGGCCGGGATCGACGCTCCGGGGTGGGAGCCGGTCCTGGGGCTGGGATGGAGAGCTGGCACTGGGGGGCGGACCCTCTCCGTCGGCCGGTCCCGGGGAGCGGAGCCGGGCTGGGGCCGGTGGCAGGAGAGGAGAGCCCCGGTTGCCGGGCTGAGCCCGTGGGTGGCTCCTGGGGTTCCTCGCTGCTCCCCAGCGCTGTGCCCGGGCCGGAGGTGCCCTGCCTGCGCCTCGTGTTCGGGATGGTGTGTGCTCCGGCTGCAGTGGGGCTTTGGGCGCATTCAGAGAAAAGCCCTGGTTACCCCAGGATAGCCGTGTGTGGTCCCGGTCGTTCTCGGTGCCAAGACCCCAGGCAGGAGGCTGCCAGGGACCCACCTCCTCGTGCTGGGCTGGCAGGCTGGAAAGTCGGGTTTTCCTGTATCCCAAAGCCAGTGAATTTGCATTCTCCTTTCCAGCGACTTTATTGAGGATTCCTGGTGGGACCTTCCTCCTGGACAGAGCCGATCTCACAGGAAAATGTTCCTCTCCTTGTGTTCCAGTGACTTTTTTGCTGGACTTCCACCATGACAGCCAGACCTAGCATGTCTGAAGTGCACAAATAATAACACATGGAGAAGTGGGCATCCAGTCTGACCTCAATACAAGGCACAGGTGACAATCTGTCTTCAGGACAATATTTCAAAGACATTGCAGGGATTTAATGTTTATCTCAATAATGAAAACATTGAAAGTTATGATAGGCAAGGTCTAGGAGGGTTATAGGGGAAATTTTCTCTTCAGAATTAAACTGTCACTGTGAGGAAAAGGGAGCCATTCCTGCCTATTACAGGGCCTTTATGGCAAGGTGCCTGACTGGGGTGGGCAGCTCCACCATTCCTGTGGAAAAATATACAACCATTACCTAGAAAATTAACTGCTCTCCTTGGGAGCTGAAAAACAATGAAGCTCTGCATCATTCATCAGAGCTGATTCCACTGGCTCTCTGTGTGAGCATCTCGTCCTCCCTCCACTGGAAGCCAATGGTCACGCCAGGGTCACACCAAGCTCACGTCGTTAAGATTAATCCTCATCCTGCTGCTTTGACCCCCTTTGGGGTCTGGGCAGAACAGAGCTTGGGCCTGGCTCAGAGTTGAAAGTGCAGGCAGGAATGTGGTGGTGTGGCCTGCAATGGAAACGAACCTCTTCCTGCAGAGAGCAGTGGAACAGATGGGTGGGTTCCCCAAAGCTCACAGCCCTTGCACGTGGACTCTGCTATGCAAGCCGGGTTCTTGGCCATCAACCCACGTCTAAAGAGCCTGGAGTACTCAAAAGTGGCAATTTCCACATACCCACCTGAGTCAGATGGTAGGGGGAGCATCATTGTTTCTGTGAGATATCAGTCATGGTGTCAGCAAGGAGAGTTAGACAAAGCCAATGAAAGGGTCACAGAAAAAAACAACTGTATTTTCTAATTATTGGACCTGTCAGCCCACAGACCATTGACATCTGTGGTCCAATGCAGCCTTGGGAAAGGTTACTGCTGTTTATGTAGAAAAAACCCCAAGCGTCCATCATATGGCTTTTCTTACATTTTCTGAAAATAGCCATAAGCAGTTTCTCTTGGCTCACATGGAAAGTGAGCAGCCAGGTTGGAAGAACACTGCCCTGCCACTCCTCAGCTCCCTGTGTGCCCCTCCTGCCCCCACCCTCCCAGGCAGTGCTTGGCAAGGAGTACACCCTGAACAGGATCTGTGTGGCTGCTGGAACTGGAAAGTGACTTGTGCCACACAGGAACTTTCCATATAAGAACAAAGTTAGATATTGCCACTCAGAGAAGCTGAGGCTGGAGCATCTCCCAGCTCTTACCAGTACATAACCACTGCACAAAGAGACAGGCAAGCCAAACACCTGAACCATCAAAGCCAGCAAGAAGATAGAAGTCTGCAATGATGGGAAAAAACAGGTTAAATAAATATGTCTGTCATGTAGGAATACTTCTCTCAGAGCACTTTCCAGACACTTCTGAGCTCTAGCTTTTAAAATCTAGCAGGGCAGGCCCGGGTCTTGCAAATCTTTGACTTGTGGCTGTATCCTGAATCAGGTGAGCAGGCATTCTGAACTCAGCAGGAATAATTAAGGATAATACCAGTTAAACAAACTAATTAAAGATGATTTTGAAAGATCAAGATGTCAGATACCTGTGATTCCTGTCTTCAGGATCCAGAGCCTTTACATCCCCTGCTTGTCCCTTCCTTCCCCTCCCATGATAAGGATGCTCTGGAATCCCAGGACTGCTGGTTAGGCCCATGGCAATTGCTGGGCAGGTGACAATGGGACAAATAGTAATGCCAGAGGAATACAAGTTCTTCCTGTTTGCCCCCTTCCTCTTGCAGTAGGAAGTACCTGAAATACTTTGGAGTATTTTTTTTTCAAACAGGCTGTTGTGTTCTGGGGTTTAATAAAACTGGGAAATACTCAGACCCCGATTAGCATGAGGAATTAATATTCCCAGTGTTGGTGCTGAAGTCTAGATGTTTGCCACTGTGCTCAGCTAGAGAAAACACTTGTAAACTGGTTTTCTTGCTGGGGCTTCTTGAAGCCAATAAAATAACAGCCATCTACCTGTGCACCCCTGTATTCCTTGCTTTTTTTCTTGTTTATTATTAGTGATGCTTATTAGTGATGCTTATTATTAGTGATGACTCAGGTGTGACAAGCCTTGAGGGCCAAGCTCGTCCTATTCAAGTCTTTTTTTATGCAGCTGACATCCAATCCTTCAGCACAGAGCATCATACTATAGACAACATGGTTTAATACTTTTTTGCCCTGCATATTCATTCTGTATTAATAGATAATCTGGCTAGTGACATTGGCATCTTTGGTTAAAGTTCTCAGGTACCTGCTTTGTCTTTCAACTGATGTAATTCTGCTTCTCTGGCCTTACATTCTGTCATTTTAGCACTTTTGCTTCCTGTGAAATAGAGAAGGAATCAAGAATAAATTTAGAAGCCTAAACAAAACCTATAAACAATTATAATAATTTGCTAAATACCTTGTGCAGAAGCATGATCCTAATCCTCTCTTTTATCCACAGATGATGTTAAATGCTTTTCTTTTTCCCTAAATATTGACACTAAGCAGGTGTATATTGCTTCATTAATATTATTGATGTTACACTTATCTTTTGCATCAGCAAAGTCTTTAATGTCTATATTTGTCTAAATCTATAATATTACTTTCTTCTCTTTGGTTGCATTTGGCTTGCTTTTCCCCTGGTTTAAGTCTGCATTGTGTCACAGGGCTCTTCTTTCTCTCTTCCCCATTTTAACAGCTTATCAAAGCTGTTAAAATCTAGTCCAGGAGTCTACGCAGCTAGACCACGCACAGTCAGAGGTAAAGTGAACTTTCTTTTGTTAAGCTCCTGAAAGATGGGAAGTTGTGTCAAATACTCCATGTGTGCAGGCACCTGGAGGACAGATGGAGAAATAAGATGGCTTGGTAGACTAGGGTTGTCAGTGAGATGTGATCAAATCAATGGTGGTACACCAGTGTCCTCTTTCCTTCCAAATATCATCGCAGGTATCCACTTAGATAAGAATGTAACATCTCTGTAGACAGCTGTGGTCAAGCAGGAATAAAACTATTCCAGAAAGATTTGACCAGAGGTGAGTTTTGTGACAGATCTGAGCTGAGACTAAAGCTGAGGTGTATCCTGTAAAACCAAGAAACGAGGAAGCCAAAGGCTTCTTCACTTTGGCATCCCTGGATGCAATGTTGCCATAATCTAAGGGTAGAGAATTCCTTTTGTCCACATGTGGATCCCTCTGAACAGCAATGAAGCCTGTGGATCCAGCTACAGCTGACCCAGCAAAATAACACTGCTGTCTCTGAGAGGGAGAAGTCTTTCTCCTCCCCCTGCTTCTGGCTAAATGATCTCTCTCTTCCCAGTGTCATTTTCACAGATATTGGACCGACTTCCGTGCTGAAATGGTGGAAAACTAAAAATTCTTCTCCCACCTCAGGAGGACAAGTTGTGTTGCAGTAGAGTCAGGCAGGACTGGGACAATACCAGGTAACTGGCAAGCACCTTCAGCTGGATGGAAGGTGGAGACCACAAGAGCATGTCCAAGCAAGCAGGTGAGACCTGGGGCAAAGCTGGGACTAGATAAGAGTGTTCATCAGTCACAAGCTCAGCTGTCTCCTTGAAAGTCTTCCCTGATCTTCCTTCTAGGTGGGAGCATAGAGCAGACACTGACAGGAGTTCAGGATCTTCATGGCGCTCTCATCAATGTCTTTGAATTCTGATCTGCTGAATCTTGCCTGTCTTACAGATTTTCTGATTTAAGGGGTAAAGGGAATAGTTAGTGTTGGAAACTTGAACAGAGTCCTCTGCTTATTCCCCATAGAGGTTCAAATAGCTGAACTCTGCTAACTGTCCTGATTCATATGATCAAAGACTCAACACTCCATGCTGAAACTCTGAGCCACCCAGGCCCTGGGAACATGGTGTTCTGTCTGGGGCTGTGATAAATTACATTGCCACGTGGCTTACTGAAGAAACATGTTGAAGATCCTGGGCTACCCGCTTAGGAGCATGAGGAGCAATCTTTCCCCAGAAGTAACCTTTATGAAGGCTTTATAGAAGACCACACTGGTTTCTTGATTCCAGGAAGGCACGGGGAGCTTGCCAGGGTTCAGTCAGTGAAGATGGGTCACTGGGACAGCATGGTTCTTCCAAGCAAAGCTACTCCCTGGAAAAGGACTAAATACTTTTGAAGAACATGAATCCTTCATCCCAGATAATTTGCAAGTATGCTGTCTATAGGTGTTTCTTTTGAGGACTTTCTTCTTTCCTGTAAAGTATTTCATAATTCTAGCCATAGAAGAAATGACCAAATTCTCCCCCAGCTGAAGCTGGCCTTACTTAGACCAGTGTTGCTTCACTGACTTCTGTTCAGCCACTTCTGACTTTCACTGATGA